AAGCCGTCAGCACAAAGAGACGCCATCCTGTTGGATTTATAATGTCTTTTATTAATATATTATGCTACAAAAATATTTTTGGCAAAATAACATTAATAGCATCTTTCTCTGTCTTCTATTATATTCTTAAAGAACTCTTCATGATAATTCACAGAGGAGAGGGGAAGAGGTGATCGAAAGAACAGCATCATGAATACCTTTCAAATACATTACGATCTGACGCTTGTGTCACACAGTGAGAGTGAGGTCAGGACCTTCTGCAATCTCTTTGAGGCTCAGAAATGGGACAGGGACTCTGGCTTCCTCTGTTTTGGGCTAGAACCTCCTTTAGCCAAGAGTCAGCCCCCGATGCCCCAGCCACTGGGGGCCCAAGATGTCTGAGATCCCCGCCAGAAACTTCTTAGACTCAGGTCCCATTCAAAGCCCACTTTCCCCTTAATGAGACTTGGGATGGAAGGACCCTCTGAGGGGTGCTACTCTGTCACCTTTCCTGCCTGTCATGTGCTCTCAGTCCCGTGGCAGCCTGCAGGTCCTTGGAAGAAAACCAAGCACTGAGCCTGGGAAGTGGTGGTGCCTCACCTTCATGGAACCCCAAGATTGCACATGGCATTTGCCCATCCCCCAGAACAGCCCAGGCAGGAAACAAGGTCTCCATTTGACAGATGAGGAAATGGAGGCTCAGAGAGGGGCAGGGACTTGCCCAAGGTCACCTAGCAAAGTGAAGGAATGTCCAAAGCATCTCTGGAAGGGACGAACCACAGTTAGTGAAAGAGTAGGGGGAGCCGAGGGTGTGCCGATGCTCCCAGGAAAGGGCCAGGTAGGGCTCAGTTGGTTCTCATGACCCCCTACTTGCCTCCCCCAGGGCTGGAGGTTAGGGAGGCAAGGAGCTCCATTCTGGGGCCAGGGGCCTGGGTTCCAGTCCAGCCCTTCCCCACGGCCCAGAAGTCCCCCTGCCCCAGGGCAGCCAGCAAGTCTGCCAATTCACGTCAGGCCCGGCTGGGCTGTTGAGGAACGAGGCTGTAAGGCTGGACTGATTCCTGAACCTTATTGGTTTAGACAGCCAGTCTGGGTGATTTTTTTGGCTGCTTAGATGCATTTTTGGAAAAATAACAATGTTCAAAGAACCTGAGCATTACGGAGCCAGGAAGGACCCTCGATGTCATCTACCCCAGTCCCTTGCCAAGACTTCTACTCTCTACTGTAAATCCAGCCAGCGGGCCTGCTGCTCGACACACCTCGCTTGACAGGAAACTCACCACCTGCAGGGGCACCTATCTATCCTCGGACAGCTTTGGCTTTGTAGAGAGCATGCCACCAACAGAGCTAAGGTCTGCTTCTCTCCTTTCCTTCTTCCATTCCTTTCTTTCTCCTTCCCTCTCTATACATCTCTTGAGTGCCATCGTTGTGTCAGATGAAGATGCAAAGATGAATTCACATGATCCTTGCCATCGAGGTGCTCGCAGTCCAATAGGAGAGCAGATACACAATTAGACAGTCTCAGCATTGTCCAGTAGGTGTTAAAAAGCACAAAGGAATCATAGAGGGCTTCCTGGAGGGGTTGCCATCTGAGCGATCCTCAAAGGATGAGCAGGTAAAGATAAAAGAAGGCGGGTTTCCAGGCTTAGGAAGCAGCATGTTCTAGAAATGACAAATAGGATTCAATCCGGTCAGGCACAGAGCAGGAGAGATGAGAGATGTGGCTGGCAAGGTCAGCAGGGCCAGATCACAGAAACACCAGGCTGAGGACTTTAGTTCTTATCCCATGGTCGCTGAAACACTATCAGCTTTAATTGTGTTCTCAGCCACACAGGATACCATCAAAGCTGCAATTCCCGGTAGAACTTCTCTTGTTCTTCATTGTGTTTTTCATATGCTTTCCTTCTGGTGGAGGACCTTTACTTGAAATCTGTCATGACAATGGCATCAGGATGGAGACTGGGCAGGTGGGACCAGAATCCTGAGCCTCTAGGTTTGCCCAAGTCTGGCCGAGGCCAGGAAGTAGATGGCAGAGCATTCAGTGTGAGGAAAATCTGCTGATGGCATCCCAATGCAAAGGCAAACTTGCCAGTCAGCACAAGTTTCCACGCTTCCTAGACTCCAGATCTTTGCATCTCAGAGTGGCCCTTTGCAGCTCCCTGTAGCCTGGCTCATACACTGATGTGTCAGAGCAGCCTGACATAGCTATGCTGACCAACCCCAGAAAGCTTTTTAGTCATTCAGTCAGGTTTCTTGACAGGGGACCTAGGGCCACCACTAACATGCTGCCTAACCTTAGACAGGTCACTTAACTTGCTGAGTGTCAGTCCATCCATCTTCTCTGCCTGCCTCACGGTCAAATATGAAAGCCCTCAGATATGCACATGATGCTCTCAGAGCAATGGGGGCATTTTATGAGGCTGGGCACATAGAACGTGCTAGACAAAATGTCAGCGGTGGTGGATAAATCATTTCCAAGTGTGTGAGTGGCTGCTGATGGATTGGTGGCTCCCTGGCCGAAGATGAGAGAATTCGCATGTCCCAGCCATGCAGATTTCTGTATACATGCTTCAGGTCTTCTGAAACATTAGTCAGCAAGTTCAGTTCACTTCAAACCCTGGCCAGTGGGGAGTCGTCAGGGATCAGTGAACTTAGGTTGCAGATGTCTGACGCACATTGGTTCTGGCTGTCCTGTCCGCACACGTCCTCTTAACCAGTTGGTCCGTCCATCTTTCTTTAAACGCTTGGTGAGGGAGAGTTTGGAATCCGCCAATCTGCCCAGAGGAGGGGTCTGGGGAAGACTAGGGCTGAATCTGCCGGGCCAGGGGCCTGGACAGGATAACTTCTAAGTTCCTTCTAGGAACCTAGGACATCACTGCTTGTCCATCTCAACGAGGAGTTCCTCTAGGTTAGGAAAGGTGGCTAGATTCGGGCCCAACACGGAGCCTGGCACTGCATGTGCTCGATAATCACACACTGCGTTAATTTACCTCCTTGGCCCTGTGCCTGGCACAGATCTGGGCACGCAGTCAGGTGCCTGGACTGTTTACCCAAATGCTTCATCTTTAATTAACCTCAAGTTCCATCTCAATACATCACATGCCACACTTTGCCCAGAACAGAGGGAAATCTGGCCTGTGTGTTTCTAATTCCTTTACACTTATCTCATCCAAATAGTGCTCTGCACGATGTGTTTGATGTCCCCCAGGCCTTCTGAGCCTGTTTTATAAGTCAGCTAAGCCCCTTCCTGCTCAGAAATAGGAAGTCACATTTTTGCCAAGGATAAACTGACTCCAGCCTTGGCTGGGGTCAAGTTCAGTTTACAGCTTGGTGCCCATGAGGCTGGCTGGACCCTCAGGGCTCCTGCCAGGTCTCAAGCTCAAACATATCCATCCAGGGCTGAGCTGAAAAGAATTCAGCTGCCTGCCAAGATGCCAGTGGGACATGTGACCATCCAATGAGCTGTCCTGAATTCTACCATCTCAGAAGGGAGACAGCTGCCCAGCTGGGCACGATGGCTCTGGGGTTAAACAGCCACCACCAGGCCTGCCAGGGAAGCCATGGTGTAGTGACGCTGGAGAGAACTGGTCTGTAAGTCAGCAGACACCCAGCTGTGCAGTCTTGGGCAAATGCCTCCCCTCTCTGGGCATTATTATTATTCTTACAGTTATTACTAACTGTCAAATGGGGGTTCTTTCTGCTCTTGGGTTTTCGGACCCTGTAATTGATAAGCTGTCAGCCCAATGAGGGTTCAGGGCTAGAAGGCAGCCAAATTGGGTCCTCTACCTTCTCGGCTATTACCTTGGGGGGTTAGGAGCTAGGTCAGTTTCTCTGAGTCTCAGTGGCCTACCTGCGCCCATTTAGCTGTCTGCTTCCCCAGGACTCCCACAGCTGTCCCCAACTCTGTAGCCTCTGATTTAGCAGGAAAGCCTCTCATTGGCTCCAAGATAAGACAAATTGGGGCATGGAACATGTGGCATGCTCAAAATGCTCTTTAGCCAGAGTGACCAACATGAGTAACTGTGGCCAAACAGTCTCTTTGGCTGGAGTAAGAAGCTAGCGCCGGCCCATTTGGGTGAGACTCACCTCCCTTGGAGCTTCCCTGTGCAAAGGGAACATGATAGAATATGGTCCGGGAGACGAGCATCGATTTTGAATCACATTGATCTGGGGCCACGTTTTGGCTGGGTGACCTTGAGCAAGTCCCTTTACTTCTTTGGGGGCTCATCTGTGAAATGGGGATAATCTGTGAAATGGGGATAATTGCATCTCACAGAACTAGAGCGAAGATGAGTGATAAAGTGAATGTGCAAAGTACCTATCACACTGCAGGCTTAGGACAAATGGTAACTCTCATTCTGATTATTATTACCATATGACTCCTAGAGCCCCGTCCCTAAAATTGTCCTTCTGTGCCTACTCCTGTCCTTCAGTCCAGCTCATTCCATTTGGCCGTGACTTCAGTAGCTTCTCCCATAACCCGAGCTGGATTAATGCTATTGGAACAGAGAGGTCTGGATTTGCATCCTGAATCTCCCATTTGCTTTGTGACCTTGGGCAACCACCTTCCTCTCTTTGGATCTCAGTTTAATGGTCAGGCACATGGGGCTGGGGGACCACCTCCCTCAGCACCAACATCCCTCCCCTACCCCAGTGCTTTGGTTGAAACACTTACCAAGAGCTCTGGAGGCCCCGTTCACAGACACCCAGGGTTTCAAAATAGCAGCATTCTCTTTCAGAAAGTATCTTCCCAGCCCTCAGATGCATCCAGGGGAGGGAAGGACTGTCAGCGTTCACATCTCTGGCCCCCAAATCTAGCTTCACGAAAGCTAAGCCTGTCTGCCTGCCCATCCCTCTGAGGTTTCCACAGTGGGAGAAGCCAAACCCAGACACTGGAGGCTTCCGCTGATCCAGGAGCAAGCCAGTTCAAAGCCACAGTCCGCACGAGGTCAAAGCTGTCCTGACAACCTGGGTTCACCTCCTGGGTTGGTGTTGGGGCTAATTAAGGGGTTATTAACATAGGCCACATAAAAATAGTTTTATCGGTAGAATAAATACATTTTTCTTTTTTAATATGGACACATATTTTACAAAAGAGCCCCATAGCACTATGGGAAATTAAGATCCTTCTACAAAAAAGAAGATGTAACTCGGGTACAATAAAGCTCTAGTATTCTCACAGATCCCGTCTGGACTGCCTGTGGGGGGTCAGGCACCACTGGAGGTGGCGGCAGGGGCAGTGGGGTGTGGCCGAAGACCCTCCTATAGTTTCTCTGGCTTCTCTGGCTTCTCTGCATGGGACAGTTGAGGTCAGGAGGGCCCGAGGGTGTGCAGCAGGAAGGGGGCTACAATGCTGGCAGCGATGGCGGGTAGGAGGCCCAGGGTCGGCTGTGAGCGGGCGGGCACTGAGCTGCTGGCTGGCCCCGGCTCTTCCTGCTGCTGCAGCTGGTCGGAGGGCTGGAGAGGGGGCCTGGCTGTCCCGGAGCTATGTGTAGGCTGGAAGGGCAGCGGGGGTGGCGAGGCAGTGGTGCTGGAAGGAGAAAACACATGAAACTGAGTGACCACTCAGGAGTCCCATCTTGGGCTGCAGTCTTAGAATTCAGAACTAGCTTTACTGGATTTATTATTGTTTTTCATAAAATAAAGAAGAAAACAAGGGGTTCAGACAGGGAAAGTGAGCAGCCCAGAGCTGTATAGCTAGCCGGCTGAGCTCCTGAGGCTGCACATACCGGGCTCAGGGAGTGGGCTAGGCACTGGGGACCACAGGCTTCAAGTGTGACCACTCGAGATAACTGGGTCCCAGGTAGAAAGAATCAAAGAGGGAGTGATCTGGCTTACAGGTGGGGCTATCAGCCTCCACACCCATGTACACAGATACCCTGGCCTTTTGTTGCCCTCCTCCCCCCTGTCTGAAACAAACAGAAAATAAAACACAAACATCCCCCCACCCTGGTCTGGTTATCCCAGCCACCACTTATGGAGAGTAACTTTGGTCCTCAAAACAAACCTTCGCCGGGGCTCTCATCACCCCCTTTCACCAGGTGAGAAAACTGAGGCTCAGAGAGTCTACCTGGTGACCAGGTCACGGGGAAGCGGGGGCAGCATCTCCTTGGGGCAGGAGCCCTGGGGCTGGTCTCGCTTTGCATTACCACAGAGAGCTTTAGTTAAAGGTGCAGTCCTCCATGAACTTATAAAAACAGAATCCAGTTTTGGAGGTACTAGGTAAGGGTCTTGGCTCAAGAAATTATGTGAAAGAGAGGGAGGGAGAGAGAGAAAGAAAGAGTGAGACAGAGAGAAAGCAAAGGAGATTAAGTGCAGAAGGAATTGGCAGGCTGAGGCCAGCACTTGGTGGCATATGGAAGAGGAGAGCAGACAGGGGCCGGGCAGAGTGTAGGGCCAGGTCACTGGCTCGAGTCCTGGAAATAGATAGAAATGATGAACTAAGAGACGGGGACTGGGGAAGGGAGGGGACACTGACAGAGACACAACAAAGAGAGGCCACAGGGGTTAAGAAGGTTAAGGCACTGGGATAAAGGGAAGGGCTGGGCCCCAGAAGCTATGGGCTCATGTGCCCTGTGGAGCCCTGAGTGGCCGGAGGCAGATGGAGATGCAGACAGAGGACCCAACAAGCCCCATCACACCAGCAGGGCAAGGATGGGAGGGGAAACCCAGGGGCAGGGGGAATATAGAGGAGCCCTGACCCAGTGCAGGGCCGGGAAGACTTCCCGGAGGAGGTGACCCCACAGCCAGCTATGAAGACAGCGAGTCTAGCTTGCATATGGCTGACGATGCTCCCAGCAGGCTGGAGAGGTACTTGCAGAGTAGGGCCCTGTGCCAGTTCTGTGCGAGACATTTAGCATGTATTAACTTCTAACACTCATGACAATGCTACGAGGCAGAAACCACTATTACCCCCATTTTGATTTTGAAGAAACTGAGGCACGTAGGGGTTAAATAACTTGCTCCAGGACACACAGCGGGGGGCACACAGTAGGAGCTCACTAGTAGTTGCTGAATGGGGAGACTGCTCCCATTTCCAGGGTTCCCCTCCCTCCCCAACAGGCCGCTCACTCCCTGGGCCATCTGGGAGTCTCCCAGATCACTTGGGCCTGAGTTTCCATGAACTGGGCATCAGGTCCCTAAATAATTGACTCTCATCACCGGGGCGAGATCTGCCATCGTCACTACCATAGCCAGCCTTACTACCATCCTGGCTGGACACCTCTGACACTGCCTGGTTTAGCCTCAGCCTGGGAGGTGGGGGAGCAGGGGAGCTCGGAGTCACCAAGTACAGTCTCCACGTGGTCTGGGATCTCTGTTCTGGAAAGTAGGGGTCCAGATGCCTTCAGTCAAGGAAGGATGCTCACTCCCTGTCCCGTTTCTCCCTCTCTACCCTACTCCAGGTCATGTTCAGACCACATGAACCTGCCAAGTCTTTGCTCTGAACCTGGAGTCTGTGTTCTTCCGTCTTTAGAAACTCCCAGAGGACCTATCAAGAGAGGAGGGAGCCAACTCTGGTCATGTATAGGGGACAGAGGGAAGATGTTCCTGAACAGAGAGTATGTGTTTGGAATGGGAGGGGAGGGTACAATTCTCACTGATCATATTGTGTCACAGGCACCTAGTTGTGCACACAGGGTTTGGATGGGTTTTCGTAAAGTGCTTACAATGGCGCCAGGCACACCGGAAGCGCTGCATGGCGTTGGCTATTTTTAACCTCCTAATTAATGTTTGCATCTCTGTTTCCCCCACTAATAACATCTTCCATTTATGGAGTGCTTTCTACATGCAGGCAGACACTGTGCTTGATGCTACGCATCTGCCATCTATTATTATTCCCATTTCCAAGATGAGGAAGCAGAGCCTGAAGGAGATTAGGACGCAGATGTCTAATCTGTGTCTGGCTCTCCAGCTCGGCCTGGCCTGGGTGTTGTCCTAACTGTGCAGACGAGTAAGTGGGCGATGGAGGGCA